GGAACTATGGTATAAAACATATTAAGCAACTAAATATATTTTCTTCGCCTTTGTTGCTATTAAATCTTCCTCACAGAGTGTTGATGTCTATGTGGACACACTGTGGTATCTGCCTACCTTTCATTCACTAGTTATTTTTTTAAGTTAGTATTTGACTTTTGCATTTTAGCACTGACTCTGTCATGCCTCTCCTCCATCTTAATATATGCCATGATTTTCAAAGTTCAAAATATTATTTAAATGCTACTGTCAAGGTTGGGTTGGAGGTTCGTTGAGGACCCAAATGCAGAGACCAGGGAGGCAGAGATGAGTTCTTGCAGGGTTTAACAAACTCAAAAAGGCAACAGAAACAAAATCCAAGAATCAAAAAACTAGAAATTAAAAACCAGGGGGAAACACACACCAGGAGCCAAGAAACAACAAGGAACCAGTAGTGAAGAACTACCAAGCAAGAGTATATATGGTAGACAGAACAAAGACTGGGCTAAAGAGCTGATATGGAGCAGGTGTGGATAGAAGTGACTAGAAGGGAGCTGGGGGAAAGGAGACAGGCACAACGGGGGCAACAGAGTGTAACTCAAGACTGCTTAAATATAACAAAATGAAAAATAAACCAAAGACCAACAAAATAGAATAATATACACTGCAAAAAATAGAAATCTCAATAAGTGAATTTTTCTTAAAATAAGTGCGTTTTTCCTTGAATTGAGGGGGTAAGTAAGACACTTTGCCAATGGAACAAGACAATTTCCTTTTAAAATAAGAAAAAACAATTTTATTGTCTTATTTCAAGTAAATATTATCTAACTATCTTATTTTAAGAGTAAAAATACTCATTCCATTGGCAGATCATCTTATTTACCTGCTCAAATTAAGGGTAAATATACTTAATTTAAGAATTTTTTTACTTATTTCTTGATTGTTTTTGCAGTGTAGATACTGAAAACTCAAAATGGGAGAACCATAACAGATAAGGTACATCTTATTCTGCCTCTTTTGGTTAGGAGTATTTAATAAGCACAATCTTTCTAAAATGCTTTAAACGAAGCAAAGTAAAACAGTTCATTTAAAACGAGTCAAGACAGACAAGTTCTACCCGTACATACATACCCTTGTATGACATTAGGATGAGCTTATCAAGAGTGAGATTCAGGCATTTGATTTTGATTTTTTCTTGAATGGTTGGTTTTAATGTCCAGGGTCTAGACCTAAGGATAAGAGAAGAGTCATTTCATACACGTGCAGAGCTCCTCAATGTTATCAGCTCTGACCAACCTTATCTGTGGTTTCATTTTTAACTCTATGGTAGACATGGATGTTTGCGGTTTGTTCTATATTTACTATTGTAAATCTCGAGTTCATTTGGAAATATTTAGTTATAGTTCTTGTAATGCTGTCATTTTTTTTAATCAAAAACAATCTATATTTCCAGGTAATGATAAAGGCAATGAAAAGTTGACTGAGGAACTCCTTCTTGGTTGAGCATTAGGATAGAATACAGTTAGATATTTTTATGCACCATAAAAATAACACAGATTTATTTTTATTTTTTTTTACACAAACTGAGAAAATAATAAAGTTTCACCTTTCTATGCTCTGGGACACAACTCAAAGAGATTAAGGAAGTGTTTGCATCACTCACATGCATTTTTGTTTATGTACGTCAGTTTAAGGTGTGAATGGAGGCAGGTCCATGCAGGTGGGCGGGGGTCAGGGTTGGGACATTCTGTGAAGTTGCGCAAGGTGAGCGATGGAGACACAAAGTGGCAGAAGCTCTGTGGAGGCAGGCAGAGGAAGTCTGTGTGGAAAGGTTTTTCTGAGAGATGGCGTTAGACGACGGCCAGTGGGATTTTCCTAACGTCATCCATGGTGTACGTCTACCTGTGTGAGATGAAGTTTGAAGGAAGAGAGAAAGAGAGCACAATGCAGAGACCCAGCAGCTGTTATGTAAGTCTGTGTTTGCTGTTGGTGAAGAGTTAGAAATACTGTCCTTCACTTTTGACACAGTGTAAATCATAGTTTCACTTTGTTAATGAGTGGTTAGTTTCTGTTCTGGTTATATGCCTTTTTTTTAGATCACCTTTGGCTTGCTTGGTTAATTTGGTTGTTGATTTTGTCTCAGTGTTTTAACCCAAACAAGGATTATTTGTTGACCAAAATCATCTAATTTCATCTACAGCCATAAATGCTTGTAAAATAAGTGTCTAGAAAAAAAGTGACTGGTACCTTTACAATGATTTACAAGGCATCCGAACTGTGTATCTTTACAAGAGAAGAAGGAGCTGAGGTGAAAAGAATATGAAGGAATATCCCCTTTTGAAATTGATAATTCTTAAGAGAAAATAAACATCTGATCAGCTTTTTATTATTACACTTTTATAATAAGACAACTTTAGTATCACTTTATTTGTACTAATATCATTCTTTAGTTTCTTTTGCATTCATACTTTCATCCATTTTATGATGTTTTTAATTATATTATTATATTTTATTATATGTTTTTAATTATATTATATGTGTTTTGTGAAAATTTTACAAATATTGACCAAGTAATCTAGTTCAGTTATTGACCAAATTATTCTAGATGTTAGAAACAGCTGCTTGGTGCTTTATTTCCAAATTCCCCATTTGTTACCACTATAGTGGTTTGGTTCATAGGATGATTCATTTGAAATGCTTGCAATTTTTTTTTTATATAACCATTTGGCCTGAAGACTCAATTTTTCTTCCAGTACAGCCAATATGTTTAAGTAATTACTGAATCTACTGCTTAGATCTTACCATAGCAGGACAACACCACATTATAACACGTCCATCACCATGCTTCACCCCTGTGATGAGTTACTTTTACTTGAAATCTGCCGTTGATCTTCAAACAAAACGTATTATGTGTGGCTCTAGAACAACAGGCATGTTTTTCCGTCCACAGCTTTTTGTTGTTGTTGTTTAGAATATTAGGATTATTTATTCATGATTCATGTGCGTGCTTTTTAAACCCTAATATATCATGCCTGTTATGTGTTAAAGCTAATGTTTTCCCAAGCAGTTTATCTACTTAAGACAATATTTAGAAATAAAATGGGAGCATACAGAAAGAGTGGATTATTCTTAAAAGAGAGCTCTGTCACTGTGCGTTTGGATTGTCCTTGATCTAAAAACCCTTTGTATTATCTTGATATGACGGGAGCTGGTGAATTATCCTCATCAACAAACGTGTATGATGTGCTGATGTAATGATGCGGACCTGCCAATGCGTAAAATGTTCTTTAAACTGTTATTCTGGGCAAACTTTCTGAAGAAGCGAGCTCAATGCTGAGCGCTTCCATTTGTAACCTCAGCCACTTCAATATCTTATCCACTTATCCACATGATAACTCTGTTATCATGTCTCACAGTCATTTAATACATAAACATTATGAAGTGTTATTTAAAGGGTTTTTCCAAGGCATCTCTTCTCAGGAAAAGAATCCGGGAGAGAAAGCTTGAAGGTGTAAACACAGAGCTTCCCATTACAAGAACCCATACCTTCCTTTCATTCAGGAAATCCATATGCCCCATATTGAGTCTCATATTGAATGTTGAGAGTGTTCGTATTTGCCACACTAAAATCTGTGAAAAGTACTTGGATGTAATGGTGAACTTGGTTATTTGGAGTTAATTATTTCCACAATGTTACATATTGGCACAACTGTGGTCATAATGGCCAGTTTTGGATAAATCACGTAAATTAATGTTTTTTTTCACTTGTTTATGATTTTCCTCAGTTTATTGTACATTTATTCTTGTCCAATTGATTAACATTGGTGTTTCATGTTTATCCAAAAGTTAATATATGGTATATTATTCTTTGATAGTGGCACATATTTTAAGCCAAGTTTACCTTAATAATAATGATTTCTTTCTAAATAGTGATATTCTAACGGATACAGCAACTGAAGACAGGAACATCATCAGGAATATATTACATATTTTAATGTTTTATATCACTGAAAAGAAGCAAAGCAGGCTAACTCTACAAAGGGAGGCATTAAGTCTTTTGTTATAAGCCCTCTTAATATGTGTTCTGTATATAAAAAAACAAAATGTTTGCTTAAATTTTGACCAGTTAAAACGGAGTGAAATACTTTGTAAGACAAATAGATATAAATCCTCTTTGTTTTTTTTATATATCAGTTAAACAATGTTTATGACAACTCAGAGGACAGGAAAAAGAACCGATTTTTTAGTCTTCAAATATGCATTAATGTATCTTCATGAAACATTTGGATTAAGCTTTTTTGTTCCAGTGCTTAATGTAGCAACAGTTGTTATTGTAGTATAATAGGGGGGTGGTGGCCTAGTGGTTAGGGCATTATATTGGAGGTTCTGTGTTGAAGCCCCACTCCCACAGACTGCCACTCTGGGTCCCTGAGCAAGACCCTTAACCCTGCACTGCTCCCTGGGAGCCACACAATGGCAGCCCACTGCTCCGCTCTGTACTTTTGACAGTGTAATGACAAAAAAAAAAAAAAAATGGAATTAAAAAACTGTCCATCTGTTAGATTTGAAGCAAATTACTGAATAACTGAGATCATAGTAGCCTAACATGGAGTCATTTGGAACTATTATTAAGAGTTTTGAATTGTAACATACTACCATTGACGACCATGTGAATAAATAGAAATATTTTTTTTTCAAAGGATATTAATATTGAAAAATGATGGGTTCAAAATGGGTTCAATTCACAGATGATTTGATATTTCAATTTGATCAAATGACAGACAGGCCAATAAAGGTATATTTAATTAAATAAAGAAAAACACAGGCTTTTCTCTTTCAGACTCAAAAAAATAATAATAAACCAAATAAATATTTTCTAACTCATGGCACTTTTAATATATTCCTTTTCAAACAGAGACACCATCATAGAGATACATACAATGATAGTAGGATTCTTTTCATGATTTAAAGATGTGAAACAGACAGAGGAACTAAACGCTCTCTTCCTGTTTTCAACCCAGTTCTCCAGGGATCAGTTTATCCTGGACTGTTCCTTGGAGAAGCTCCGCAGGGAGCTGGAGGAGGAACTGAAGATGAACTGCGAGGAGCCAAGGAGTCACGCTTGGTACCACGGAGCAATTCCCAGACAGGTAAAAAAAAAACACTAGAATAAATCTGAGTCACGAGTCCCTCCCTCTGCTCTGGTTTGAAACCAGTTGGACCAGCTATTATTAGACTACAGCTCTGAATGTGCAGCTATTACAGACAGATTGTAGGGTGACTTGTGACCTCAGTAGAGGCACTCGGGTTGTACCTTCAGGTCGGCGCACAGAAAGCGTTCTTTATGTCTGCTGGATGTATTCTGTTTGTTGTGTTGGATAAATGTGTGAGGGAGGCTTTGTGTTCCCTTTGAGATCCAGAGCTGAGATGTAATCGCTTTTAATAAGCTCCTTCCTTTGGCTAAACTAAACTAACATTACACTCTAAACAAACACTAGTCTAATTAAAGCCTTGGGTTCTGTACGAAGGTTTGTGTGTTTTTGTGGGAAACAAGAAGAGTAAATGGCTTTAGCTGAAGCAAAAGTGAAATACAGAGACTAAAGTGAAATAATTTCAACTGGTAGATCTCATATCCAAATATTTATATTTGATTTTCAAATAATTAGGGCTCACATCATTCAAAACTTTTCTGCATTGAGTTGAAATTTGAGATAATTCAACAAATATTTACCGTTAAAAGTTTACTGTGAGTATTTTCATACTGTGTACATTTTAACCACTAGGGGCGCTAGACTTTTCACATTCAAGTTTAGTGGCCCTGAGAGCAACTAGCAACACGGCACTGTTGTACAATGAAAGTTTCCCTCCATGTTTGAATCTCAGTTCCTGATTTGTTCTCTAACATTCTAACATTTGGCAGTAAAGGTGTAAATCTTCCAGGAGCTTAAAAGTGGGAACATATCTGCATCAGTATTTGAGAACATGATTTCTGCTTCTAGAGGTGTACAGTAGCCTAATGGTTTTAAAATAACTTCATTGTTAACATCTAGAATTAGGGATGTCCCAATACGATATTAGTATTATTGATATTGATTATTGATATTGATTGATACACAGGAAGCTATAAAATTAGTATTATTATTGGTCTGTTATTGGCCTGATTTTAGCCAAAAAACTAATATCAAATTTTATCGGCTGGCATCTAAGACCTCCGATATTTTCATGCTGACAGAAACACTCTGCCTCTGCTAGTTTCTCTAACACATTGGTTAGCTTTCAAACAAGGTTGTTTTCAAACCTTTTTACTGTTTTTTATAGTAATATAACTTGATCAAGCCCTTTCTTACACTGAAAAGTAGAAAATAAGTAATAAAAGCTGGTATGATTTGTGATAATAATTGGGTCGACGTCGGTATCGGACAATTCTCAAAGCTAAAATATCAATATCGTATCGGAAATCAAAAAGCTGTATCAATACAGCCCTGCCTAGAATTATGATGATAACCTAAAAAATGCTTTCTTAAATCCTTATGAATCCCTTCGCAGTATTAAAGCAAAGCCCTTAGTGTTAGCATAGACTGAATAAATGCAGTGGACCATGATTACCATGAGAAATTAACTGGACTTAGCTTTTATCTGCTAAAAGTTTGTAGAGTTCTCATTTAAAAAGGTTGAGGGGAAGGTATGTAAATATTTGTATATGTAATTTTGTGTCAATGGCCTGTAGAACTGTTTGGTTTGATTTTGTTTTGGGTTCAGATGTTTGGGTCATTGATAGATAGATAGATAGATGTACTTTATTTATCCCAAGCTGGGAAATTGCAGAAATTGCCTCATAAAACTGAAACTGGCCCATCGATGGCAGTTGTTGCCTCCCTTGTAGTGGATTTAATGTTGTAAACTGTCAGTAACTCATTATAAAAAACATTTGTATGGTTTAAAATGGGTTTATTATGTTTCTGATTTAGACCTTTCAGTTAAAATGAAATTTAATAGGCTTACATTTTACAGTATATTTAGTACAGTATCGTCTAATTTAAACACTGCAGGCCAGCCGGTACTTAGCTCATAAAAATAGTTACTGTCCCACAGACTACCATTATTAGATCTAATTGAATGTTTGGACTGTAAACAGCCACTGTGTGACCCTCTGTGTGTGTGCATGTGTACCTGCTCATAACCTCCAGGTTGCAGACAGCTTGGTGCAACGTGACGGAGATTTCTTGGTACGGGACTCACTCTCCAGCCCAGGAAGCTACGTTCTGACCTGCCAGTGGAGAAACTCTGCTCAGCACTTTAAAATCAACAAGCAGGTAAATATATATTTGCAAATATTTTCTCGTTCTAAACTTCAATGAACAGCGTTCCACATTGTAAATCTGTTTAAACAGTCGGGTTTTATTTTGTGGTATTTGTTTTTATTCTTCTTTTTAAACCTTTTTAACACTGGAAGGCTGTTTTCTCATTTTTATAAGAGCAGTTATAGAATAGAGTTTAACATGATGCCAGAAGCTTCTGAGTTTCGTATGGTGTAGTACTAATCGATCATATCTAGAGTCTGCATTTAGGTTCAAGGTGCATTCCTCTCAACCTGCTGTCCTGTTATCAGAACAGTAAAGGTTTTTTTTCTCCGTTGTTTTGTTTTTTTACGTTTCGTGTCAGGTAGTGTAGCACGCCGTGAGGAAGAGCCCAACAGATTTGCTTTGACAACTGGAGAGTTATGGATATTAGGAAGGAAGAAAGGAAGGAAGGAGAAAGATAGAACGATAGAAAGAAGAAAGATAGAACGAAAAAAGAAAAAGAGTAGAGAAAAGAAAGAAAGAGTAAGAGAAAGAACAAAAGAACAAGATAGAGAAAGAAAGAGATAAAATAAGAAACAAAGAAAGAACAAAAATAAAAACTCAAATATTTGCTTCTTCCACTAAAGTCTGCAGTCATACCTGGTTTCTCTTGATCTTTAAGTCAAAAAGAATAATTTATTTAACATTTAAAAATTCTTTGTTTTACAACCTTGGTGTTTCTCACATCTTTAGATTCATTAGAAAAGTAGAAACAAGTAAGGTTTTGTTTCTTTTTCTCATTCAGGTTGTGATCCTGAATGAAGCCTACTCCAGAGTTGAGTATCGGTTAGATAAAGAGGGATTTGACAGTGTTCCTGCACTCATCAGATACTACGTTGGAAACAGAAAACCCGTCTCACAGGTGGGTTAAACAAGTACCATCTTGCACAAATGTTTCTTGCATCTAGGTTTTCAAGCTCTGTGTTTTTGATGAAAACAACAAAACGGAAAACGTGTAAATCCTTCTTCCACTGAAGGTGGTAGGAGCCATCATCTTCCAGCCGATCAACAGAACGTTCCCGCTGCGCTACTTGGAGGAGAAGTACGGACTGTCGACCAACCACAAAGAGGCGGGGCTGATGGTGCAGGAGAGGAGGAACCAGAACCGTCTTAGCCTCAACATCCCTAACGGACACGATGCTGCACACAGCGCCATCGATGGCCAACCCAGCCAGGAGAGCGGCTTCATCCGAGGCAGCCAAGTCAGGTCTGTAAACCAGGAACATAAAAGACAAATTTCAGTCATCCAAATTCCTCTCAAGCTTGAAATAAATATGAATTATGCTTCATTTTTGTTGCTTCTCCATACTAAGTGGTTTGGACAGTAAAGAATCTAGAAACATATCCTCTTTATTCTAGTACAGAGAATAAGGTTTTATATATAATTTAACTGAAGATGAATGAAAAGAGAAGGGAAAAGTAATTTAAGCTAATCATTCAGAGACATTAAGTGTGACTAATCAATATTTTTGTATAGGAAACCTGTCCAGTGGAAGAAAAAAATTATAAAAAAAAAAAAAAAAGAAATATATATATATATTATCTTAAATAATGCTAAACAATAAGGCAGAATTAAATGGATAATTATAGAACCGGTTTTATATTAAAAAATCCCAGGTGGAATTCAATTCTTCTGTAGTTATTGTCTTGTCTGCTCTCAGACAAAACAATTTGCACCAATTAAAGACAGGAAACACCTCTATCATGTTCAGCCAATGAGAACGTTTTCACCTCTTTATAATCCTGGTTCAAAACAGATGCAGCCAAAAAAATTCATTTCAGTTCCCAGTAAAGGATCACATCATATTGGCAATTCAGACCTACTGTGAAGATGCACCGATTATCTAATAAAGCAACAACACATAATCTATAAATAGATGTGGCATATAGAGCACTTTCACTCTAAAGGGCCCAGAGGATGGCAGTGATTGGTGTTTCTGACCTAAGTTTCTATATATATATATATATATATATATATATATATATATATATTTTTTTTTTTTATAGGGCTAATTAATTTGGGTGTCTGAACATGAAGCATGAGTTTGAGCGTTTCTCAATCGTAAATATTTGCTAAATTATCTGGAAGACCTTATTAGATGAAAGGAAGAATTAATCTACTTACAGATTTTTTTCTATCATCTTTCAGCAGACGATGTTTTACCTGAAAAATCCGAGAAACAAAAGTAGCTTTTCTCTGATAATGCAGGTCCCTTTGCTCTAGCTGTTACCATGCCTAATACGGACAGACCTTTATCTGTTGCATGAATAATGCACAATTTAGGAGGATTCTGGTAAAAAAAGATCCTATTTGCTTTATTATTGGAGCTTTTTTTCAGATTCTTAAACCTTTATTCTGAACCAAAATGAGCTAAAATGAGCAGGAAACGGTAAGCTCTATATCAGGGGTCGGCAACCCAAACTGTTCAAAGAGCCATATTTGATCAAAGAGCCTTTGATCCATTTACTTTCTAAATGTTAAGCCTTTTCTTGCTACTTCCTCTCAGGTTGAAGGAGCGCTGCGGTAGTCAGCCAGCGAGTCTAAATCAAGTCCAGGAGAAGCGACGTCCGCTAAAGGCGCACCAATCAGAGAGCTTTCTTCCCCTAGGTGAGCAATTCAAATATCTATTAGCTTCTCTCATTCTGCATGTGGTGAAATGTGCAGTTTGCTAAAAAAATAAATAATGTATTCATATTTTTATAAGCATAACTTCACACAGAGAAGTGTGAGTAAAAAGCCATCAATTTGAAAGCAGGATTTTTCTCACTATAACTTGGTCTACTGTTAAAAAAGTCAGGATTGATACACAGAAAGCTATAAAATGAAGCAAGAAGAAAAACATATTTTCTTTTTTTTTAATATGTCTTGTATTTTTTTCTCCTAGGATCAAAACCGCAGCCCCAGCAGTCCCCCGACCCGATGCTCCCCAGCACAGGTCCAAAGCTGCCTGTGTTTCGGACTGGCAGTGAGCCGGTGCTGAGCCCGTCACTCCAACGTAGATCTGCAGAACCATTAGCAGGTAAGCAGACATCTTTTTCTGAGCCGAAAATAAAGAAATATGTATTTGTTTTATTGCTCTTTTTAGTATAGTTTGCAATATGGATAAATTATTAAATGTTCTTCAGTTTTATTCTTTCTAATGATCACAATATTTAAGTTTTATTCACAAAACGATCCAATAAAACCCAGAGTGAGTGTCTGTATGAATGGTTAGAGTCTGCTCACATTTCCTTTTTTGCATCTTTCTTTAAAGGCTTAGGCAAAGCTACTAATAAGCAAGCAGCACTGGTCCAAACGCAGCTTTCCTGAGACCAATAAAAGCTGCTGTTGGGGTTTTAAAGTTAATAACTGACCTTTGCTTTCAAGTATTTACTCTTTCCGTTATTAGTGGTAGGAAACTGAATCCATCCCATGAGATCAAAGTGTGGAGTGTGTGTTTGTCTTTACATGCTCAGAAGGGCTGTAATATTAAAGTGATTTCTTCATGGGGTTGAAGATTATAAATGGGGCAATTTTGTGTCTCCAGGCCAAGCGATTAGAGGCTCCGACAGCCAGCTGTGTCCCAAACCCCCTCCCAAACCCAGCAAAGTTCCCCTGGCTCGGCTGCCCCGTCCGCTCTGCCTGCAGCCCCTGATGCCCCCCTCCAGTTGCTCCACCTCCTCCAGCCTGGCTCCTTCTCCTCTGAGCTCCACACCTGGGGAAAACCTGGCTTCTTCATGGAGGAGTGGAGGTACAAAGCTTGAGTCTAGCCTCTCATCAAAGATTCTGCTTATTGAAATATTGACGATGGAGGATCTAGATTTTGTGCATTCTATTCCTTTATTACTCCACAGGTCCACCTGTCCCTCCAGCGAAGCCCCAGAAGTTTCGACACTTTCCTCTTGCAGATTCCTCGGCTCCACCCAGTTCTGATGTCCAGCGTCCTGATTCAGAGGTGATAACAGGAAGGATGGAGCAGCTGCAGCCGAGTCCTGCTGACCTGAGGTCCTGCAGCCCACAGGGATCAGAGTGGGAGCAACCAAACAAACCAAACACGTCGCTCCACAGCTATGTAGAGAGACTGGAGACAGACGGCGAGAAGGAGGTGGAAGGCCAGAAAGTACTGGACAGAAGCTCCTACCATCACGCCATAGCAGCCTTAGAAAACACAAGTGAGGAAGAGGAGGGAGACTCAGGGACGGAGGAGGATGGAGGTATTAGGAGAGAAAAGGCTAGATGTAATTTTTTGCATCCGGTGGTGGAAGCGGAATCAACATTCCGACCGGCGGAGTTTGACTCCCGTCTTTTGCCACCTGAAAACAAACCGCTGGAGATGGCTGTCCTGAAGAGAGCGAAGGAGCTGCTGCTGAGCCACAATCATCAGAGCATAGCCCGACACCTGCTGATGGCCGACTGTCAGGTGAACACCTAGGCACCCCGTTTCCTTCACTTCCCCTTTTCAGACCTTTTAAGTCCCTAAACACTTTGGACAAGAAAAGCGACTGGACCCTAAACTTTTAGCTATATTAAATTTTGTTAAAATACATATAAAATATGTCAAGAGATTTATTTGGTTATTTTGTGTATTGGAACATTGCCTTACTTGTTCGTTCTGTGCCACATTTGTGAGAAGAGTTTAAATAGCATCACATTCTTCACTAATGTGCTCCACTAATAAATGCCTTTTCTTGCTATGCAGCACAGTTTGACTGGAACATAACAGGCCTTTAACTCTACGCAATCAATCAGATACCGTTATGATCAGAATGGGCGGCACCTTGGCAGAAATAATGTCACTGTTCTTTGAGGATGGAAAATATTAACAGCTGTATTTTCACTTACTGCTCACAGGAAATGGGCTCCTGCTGCTTTACATTTTCAAAGAACTGATTTTATTTCTATCTGTTTCTTAAAGCTTTAAAAAAAAAAAACTATCAATTTTTTTTAACATTTTAATAAAAATTAAATGAAAAAATTGCACATTCCCTTCTCAGTCAGTAGAAAAACTTTTTCATAAGGTCCCTTTTGGTGTTTTGCCACCTTTCCATGGTCTCTTTACTGTCATCCTCACCTTCACGTCCCCTAGCAGATCCTGAATGGGCCACTCCGAGATGTTAAAATGACTTCCAGTTTGAAAATAACTTAATCTAAACACATCTCTGCAAAAGAAAGTATAATTCAATAATCACATTTAATTAACAATGTTGGTGTAGAAAGTTTTGCAGTCTGCAGGTTAGTAACTCATCAGACTCAGATCTTTCCTCTTGAAATCATCATGTTTCCTGTTGCTGTAAAAAAAGCATAGGAAATATAACTGATTCCCTCTCAGTTATAAATTATAACAAACTGTGAAACTCTTGTCTCTCAGGTGGCGAGGATCCTCGGCGTAACTCCGCAGCTTAAAGGTCAGATGGGCGTTTCGTCGGGTCTGGAGCTGGTGACTCTGCCGCACGGCCGACAGCTGAGGCTGGACCTGATGGAAAGGTACACATTACAGACAATATTAATTATGCTTATGAGTATCAGTGTCACGGCTTTGGAGGCAGAGCATTTGTTTTAATCCATTAAATCAGGGGAAAGGTTTTGTTAGCAGACAGTGATCAAACAGCCAGAGGTGGATAATGTATCCAAAATAGTTCTCAAATCAAATCAATCAATTTTATTTGTAATGACTATAAAACAAATTGAACTTTATTGATTCCACATTGGATTCCAAAAAAGGAAAATTAAAAACAATCCACTGGACTTTGTTTCCAAGTTTGAAGACGTTTCGCTTCCCATCCAAGAAGCTTTTACAATTCAAAATGTCAAGAATAGCATTGAGTTTGAGGTTTTATACACTACCCCATCAAAGCCAAAGCAAACAACTACAGTGACAAAAAAAGAAAAAGAAGCAATAACCAAGACACCAGAATTACATAAATAAAAAATAACACCCAAATAGACCACAAAGGGCAGGATACAACATTACAACCGGTCTGTTATTCATTTAATTTCACCGGGATAGTATAAGTAAAATGCAGGGTGCAGTAAAAATACTTCTAAAAGTATATTTTAATGAAAATATGACTCAACTAAATGATACTAAGTAAATGTAAGTAGTTACAACCCACATCTGCCCCGCTATATTAACAATTACACTACTTCCTGCTTGTGTTGGTAATGGTTCTCTCCATCCTTCTCCCAGGCATCACACCATGGCGATAGGCGTTGCTGTGGATATTCTGGGATGCACAGGCACAGTGGAGGAGCGAGCGTCCACCTTGAATCGCATCATCCTCGTTGCCATAGAGCTGAAGGACGCAGTGGGCGACCTGTTTGCATTTACGGCCCTAATGAAAGCTCTGGACATGCAGCAGGTAACATAGACACAGAGATAAATCCGACACACAAATAACAGCAAACTGTAAAAACATCCTCACTAAAGTCAGGGAAAAAATTTGATCACACCTTTTCTCTCTCTCCCAACTTGGTGGTTTGCTGCATATTTAGCATGCCTTCCCTGGATATGCCTTTCCAAATGACTCTTATTATTTCTTGACAATTTTTCATTACAAAGTGAAAATGGAGGCAATCCTTCTGCATTGGTGATGAAAGCAAATGATTCGGTCCGTTCTTCTTTGAACCCTCTGTTCGCCTGATGTGTCTTCCTTTTCCCTTCGGGATCCATGTTGGCTATCACGCAAATCTTTGTTGACAGAAATTTTTACAATTATTGTTTGAATTTATTTATCATAAAAAACATTTTTACAGCATTGGAAAACATAATGAATGTTTTTCTGACCTCCTGCACACCACATTAAAACAAAACAATCCATCTTTTCCATTTTCATAAATATTGGATAAAAGTTGCAGGGAGCCGCAAGGGAAAAAAAAAAAAAAAAGAGCCGCGGGTTGCCGACCCATGTTCTAGTATGTTCAAACAGAAATGTTTTAAATGGTGATTTTTAAAGGATGAATGTTTATCTTTGGCTGAGTGGATTAGATTTCCCAGAGGGGAAACATAACCAAGCATTAAGTTGGATTTTTTTTCTGAGATACAACTACTGCTGTAAAAATTAATTTACTTTAAGCCTCCAGGGCTTCCAACAAATGTGTTTGCATCTGTGTAACCTTGAGTTTCATTATGAGTTGCTGTTTATTGTTGATCATCCAGATCAGCCGCTTGGAGGAAACTTGGACGACTCTACGAAGGAACTATACTCAGACCGCCATCAGCTACGAGAAAATCCTCAAACCTTTCTACAAGAGACTGTATGAAGGCGAAGGTAACAGAAGAGGAACTCTAAAATCATTTTAAATGAGTTAAATTATCTTATAAGTTTAACTCTCTTAGCAATATACAAACCACTCTTAAAAAAGTTCATGTTATAATTGAGTGAAAATTTGTCCTTCAGGATGAGATTTCAAGATCTTAACCTCTGACCTTCATTCTCTTCCAGCTTCCTCTCCTTCACTGGTCTGCATCCCTCTCCTTCTTCCTCTCCTCACCCTGATGGAGCGGCCGTCAACCACATCCGAAGGCCTGGAGCTGTGGGAGACCAGCGACCAGGGATGTGACATCATGCTACGGCACCTGGAGGCTGCGCGAGATGTTGCAAACAACGCCCAGCACTACACGTCCAATGCAGAGAAGATCCTTAAAGGTAAAAATAGGGAAATCCTAAACAGAATCAGTTTATATTCTACCGACCCCCTCTAACATCTTGGGTGCTTCCTCAGGGTTTCAGTGTGACGAAGATCTGCTGGAGGTTTTTAAAACCGACTTCCAGCTGCGGCTGCTGTGGGGGAGCCGTGGAGCAGCCGTCAACCAATCAGATCGCTACAACAAGTTCAACCTCATCCTTACCGCGCTGTCCAGGAAGCTGGAGCCCACGACCAAAACACAAGCCCTGATCTGATTACCGGTAGCTCTGCACACTTTGGACTCTCAATAAAAAAGGAGCAAAATGGAAAATTAACTTATGAGACTATGCTTTTTCGGGCAGAAGGACCCTAAACTCCCTCAAAGAACAATATAGATCTTCCCTAAATATTGGGGAAATTTCCTGGCTGTGGAGATAAGGGATGAAACTGTGGTTTAAACCACTGAGCCACTAGCAGCTCAGGAAAAGAAGTCGATCTGGTTCTTTTATTCCTCTGTTTGAGTCCAGTCCTCACTATTATTTGGTCTTTTATCATGTATTCCATATTCATCACAGCAGCTTTATGCGGTTTGTACAGCACACAACAAAAATGGTCTTGATGCTAAAACAGCAGAACAAAGGCAGCCTCTGACCAGCATCTGTAGGAAATATGAGTGAAGTGGCTCTGAGTCAAATCTTCAGATGCAGAATGTGAGATGGTAGAGAACACATCTGATAACTGGTGTCTGGTTTTAATCTGAGGCTTAATTTTAAAATAGTGTGCTAGATCACATTATATTCTACCACTTTCCATGATGCACATAAGAGTTTTTCACAGTCTGTGAAAATTCATAAAAGTATTTCATTTTTCAATCCATTGGTTAAAATATTCTAACTTCAGTTTTAGCTTATAAATTAACCTCTCCATGCATGCCAAATATATGTATATCCTGTTAAAAAAAGTAAAATTTCCTGTGATTCCCAGAGGGTTGAGTAAATAGTTGGCAAGGAAGTCAGGAGATACACGTCTCAAACCCCCTTGGCTTCAAGAAGACAGAAGAAAAAAAAATAAACAAAGGTTGTTTTTTTTATATATATAGTTGACACCACAAGGAATTTTTCATTCTTTTGGAGCATAATTCAATTTTTGTATGCAAAGATCAGAAGCTACACAGAGGTGAAACGACGACTTCTCTGCTCATAATTCTGTAACTGTTTGGGTTTTTGTAACCAAAAAGGTCAAACAGAAATTTTCTATGGAGATTTTTATTTAATTCACTAAAAAGAAAAATCACTAAAACACAATGTTGTACATACTTAAAAAAAATATTAGAATGTAAATAAAAAATATGTGCATTTTATTGTTTATATAATGTAGATCTGTCATGAAATGCAATAAATATAGTTTAAGATCTGAATTCTATGAAGTGTTGCATATTTGGAGGAGAAAACAGATGTTAGCTTTGTAGTCTGAATGGCATCATTGCTGCTTTTTACAGAAACAGAACTGTCGTTTTTTAACTTATTTTATTAGAGCAATTTCCAACAAGAAAAAGAAGCATGTTTTTTTAACATAGTATCTGACAACATTCAAAGTAAATAGAAAAAATTTGCACAACAATATGAAGAGTGAAGTACTGCCATGGTTACAACATACTGAGAACAGATTTACATGTTACTACCCTGCTAAAACCTACAAACTGCTTCTGGGGTCCGTAAGAGGGGGGGAAAAGGGTTGCATTTTATGAAGGGTCTTAAATACAAGGTTTCCACAGGACCTGCTTGGAAGAAAAATAAAATAAAAACTAGAGATATCTGGTCCGTTTCAGGATCATAATCAAAGTAGCTTTCAATAGAACAAACTGATTTAGAACTGTAGTAAAAGTCACTGTAGATCTGCAAGTAGAAAATCTGTATATACTGAAAAAGCTACATTTGAATTCCCTGCTGCAACACTTATGATTGTTTTTTGCATTGAAAAAGATGTAACGCTATCCAAATAAAATATTTATTTCAGGTTCCTACAAATAACTTTTCTTGTTTTTGTCTTTTCTTACTTAATATCACCAAACGTTGGACATCTTTGGACGACCTGTCTCGCAAACAGAGCAGTTAGGGTGGGGGGGGTGGTAATCCATATCAGTTTTCCAGTATGGAGATAAAACTAAATTTGGTTGAAATGTTTTTCTGCATTCAGCTACAGAAACCTATTTAAAAAATGCTTTTTTGATCAAATAAATTAAAAAATCCAATTAAGCCCAAACTATTGATGTTTAAGGCAGTTTAAAGGCATGTGGATAACGATGTTTCAGGGATATTTATCAATAGCCTATATCACTACATGCAGGATTCAGATGTTAAGGTTTAAAATAATCTTAAAATTCAATAAATGTGTCTTCCAGCATTCAGTAAAGCAGTTTAAATCAAGAGACCCAACCAAAGATTAGGGTGATGGTAAGTAGGCCTTTCCACTTAAAAAGATTTGGAGCTTCAATGTAAATACTTTAACTGTAATACCAGTTAATACATTAAAAATGCTATCAAACAAAAAACATTTTTTAACTGATTGAAAAAGGATGAAAATATAAAGCAAATTTTAATTTTTTTGACTACGCATTTATTTTATCTTTTAAGAGATATTGATCTTTTTCAAATCAGAAAATAAACAACTTTGATTAATAAAGGGAAATAACCGATGGCTGAAGATGCAACATAATACATTTAATTCATCCATTTAGGGAGAATTGGAGGTCTTTAATTTGCAGCACTTTACATCCCCAAGCATATCAGTCAGCTCAAAGGCCAGAAAAATACATGAAAAGTGTTTTTAGATGAATTTGTTTCATTCCTGTATGTAAAAAGAGAAGTTTCAGTGTTAGGTTTTTGCATAAAGGCCACAAAAATGCAGATTTACTTCTGGTTAAAACCGTCCAAGTCCTGAAATGTACATTTCTTACAGCCACTAAATCAGACACACGAAGTTGGACATGATAACGTGAAAAAGGAGATTGAATAACATCTACAGCATCATACTGCATATTTCACAGCTTCATCAAAGAAACATAAGCACAGCCAGCTGCTGGTTGGAGACAATTTTCAAAAGTCGGAAGGTCTAGTTAGTGCTCATTAGTGTCTCAGACAGACCGTCTTTAAACAATCAGAATTAAAAATGTAAAAAAACAATCATGCAAATATAAAGTAATTGCTTTGAATTACAAAAAGTTTACAAAACAAATATATATATTTTGTTTTAGTGGTCGTTCCGAAAAATTCACACATCACAGACCATCCATCAGTCCTTCATTCATCCATGCTTCATTTAACCAGGTTCAAATGCTGTTTTAGGGCAAAGTGCATCTCTTCAGTTTAAACATGTCTCTCAGGAAGAGGGCGACTCAAACAAAAGCTAAGATAGAAACAATCACCATGGAAACACATTCAGCATGATACAGATCTTTATATGTACAAATCATTCAAGGGAAGAAAAAAAACAACATGACACACGTAGGAGGACGGGCATTCTTTTGCCCGCATGGTTTTCAATACTGGACGCTGCTACGTGCGTTTGAGTCGTCACATTCGCAAACAGCTGATAACATGAAACAAACTTGTTTTTAAGATATGCAGAGGTGAAGGGTGAACCCAGGAGGCTGATGGCAAATGTAGTTGGGCATAATGCCAAGATATGTAAAAATGTCTCAATAAAAAAACAAAAAACATGAAGGTTTAAGGCAGAGTCCTCAGTTTCTGTTTGTAGTTCTGGGTTATTAAAAGAGGTCCAGTTGAGCTGGAGCTGGACGTTGCTTTGGTGAAAGAAGGCTGCCATCTGCTGGTCGGATTAACATGAGAGGAGGAATAGGCAAAGAAATGGTAGAGAGGAAAAGGAAGAGGGGTTGTGTGTTCACCTGAGAGTCCTGCTGTCTCTCTAATGGGCTTTGAGAGAAGTTACAGATTAACAGAAATAAACCATGCTTCATTAGAACAACAAGACAATATGGCATTCATCGAAATACACAGCCGGGGTCACGTTCACTTGGATGAAACGACATCACAAACATGCGGTTTGGTGAGGATGGAGGCAGGCATGAGGAGCAGAGTGGCTCAGGCAGGCAGACATCGCCAACAGAACACAGATGATTACAGGAGTGACATGGAGTGCAGCAGCACCGATGGTGTTAGTGGCAGTAAACACTGGAAACATCCGATACTGGCAGCTAATAGACCATGATGATCAGCTGGCAGCAACGTGCTGCTATGAGAAACAAATGGCAGCTTTGGAGTTGCCAATTTAGAAAGATTCTCAAATAAACTCTGCAGCAACTTTGGTAAGAAATGTGCAAACAATGCACCTGTCTTTAAATAGGTGTAGTGGCAGCTTGCAGATTTGCAGTACTTTCAGCTCCATATTCAGCCAGATATAAGCTTAGGTACAATAAACATTTATCAGAGCTTTGTTGTTATCCCTTAATGACTGTGTAAGAACATAACACACCGGCTTTAATGGAGAGTAGGACTGTGATCAGCCCTTAAACCCTGCAGATCCAATTCATATCCTAAAAGTAAGTCCTTTATTGAAACTGTCATCAAGTTGTCCTGATGTCATCCAAACTGACTGCAGTTCATTCTGCAGGTGATGATATGCACCTTTTACCATCATTAGTTCTTTACAGTAGTGCTGCATGTTAAAATGATTACAATCATTTATCAAGTAAAAGAAAGCAGCATTGACATTCACAATACAAGTGGTCTATCAGGCAACATGTGAGGCCACCGTTACCTAAGAAACTGAATAAAATGGAGTTTTAAAGCACCATTGTTCATTTGCATTATTTCATGCTTGTTGTCAAACTTATCTATACTTTTAAATTAAACTGTTGATATATTACTTTCAGACATAGCTGTTTTATATGTTTACTTTTAGTCCATAAAGTCGCTCAAATGAATAAAGTAGTGTGTAATCTTTATGGCGACGTTGATTAAATAGTTTCTTATTTATGAAGAATATTTATAATAAATTTTTGCTTTAGTTACACCTGAAATGGATGCTGTTTAGAAGCTTTGTGGTACATTTCAAACCACAGCAAGAAGATTATGCAAATAATTTAAAACATTAAAAAAAACATAATTGTCTACATCATCCAGCTCTTCTGTGTTACTCTCCGTTTTCTGCAGACAAGCTTTAAGACCAACCTGAGCAGTAAGATTCAGGTAAATATCCATACTGTGCTTAAATCAGAACTATAAAATAAATTCTGATTATACAGTATAAAATCTGCTTGTATCCAATAACATCTTTACAGGTATTTGTTTATTATCTAACAAAGTAATGGTTTTAAACAAAGCTCTGTTTGCATACAGTTAGCCAGATTCTACATTTCAGTTAAAACTAAGATCATCTGGATTGTTTCCCATTTGTAACCTAATTTTTAGGCCTTCTTGGTTTAAAATCTAACAGCCCAGGTACAACATGTTGTTCTTCACTCATTAGTCCTTACAAAGGGCTCAGGCAGAGCTAAGCCAACATCAGTTTCTAAAAGATAATTTTTTTCTGCAGCTCCATGTTTCCCAATTTTATATTTTATCTAAATTAACTAACAGAGTTGGTTTTTATTGTCAAGACTTTTGCAATAGCAGGGATTTGTTTTCATGAAATAAATGTTGGTCAAAAACGTTAGTTTAAACTATGTTAATTATTTAAAAAAAATTGCAAGAGAAACATGCAATACCAGTGCAAGTCAGACGGCACAGGAGATCCTTCCTGCCTACAGATATAAACACCTACAACTACAACATTTGATTTCCTTTGGGAATTAAAGTTTTTTTTTTTTATTTAATTAAATTGAAAAATAAAAGTAGTTTTATGGATAAACATAGTGATGATGATACTGACTGCAGTTAAGCTGTGATTTATTTACTGTCATCTTTTACTATTGAGAGCTCAGCCCACGCTCTGAAATGCATGCAGGAGAAAAGACGTGTGGTTTTATGACCTGCCATCTGCTTTAGCTGCCACCACCCAGTCTGAAAGATTTCTCTAGCCTCTGTTGCTTTAATCTGTAGAATCAGGATGTTACTTAAAGTAAATGAAGATGGTGTTAATATGATCCATCTGACTTTAGTTGATTATGGAAACACGAGCAGAGAAACATGCATCACATAGCAGCCCCCGCCCCTTCTCTCTACCTCCCCCCCTCTTCTCTCTCTGTCACCACCACCACCAATAATTATCAGCAATCAGCGTGAGCCCTCCACCAGCCAATCAAATCGCCCGGCCACTCTGCAGCCCTCAGGAACCTGCAGTCACGAAGAGGAGAGAGACCGTTATAAAAATCACAAACAGAAAATTCAAACATAGAAATAAATGTTGTTCAACATGGAAAATAAAATTTTAAAAGAGAGATTGTCAAATTAGCTTTGCTGCAGCAAATACGTAGATTTTTACACTTTGTGTATAAATTAGAACACAAATTCATCTTAAAAATGCTTTAATTTGTTTATATCAAACAAAGATGAACTTTTTATCTTCAGTAGATTGCGGGTAGAACTTTTTAAAAGAAACCGTTTAAAATAACCTTAGCAGGATATTCACAACAGTTATTTCTGAATTTACGGCTGTGACTGCACACACAGTAAAAACACAGCTACATTCAGTCGGCACTGTCACTGTATGCTTTTACCATCACAGCAGGAAACCAAAATAAACTTTGGATTATTAAAACAATCCTGCAAACCTCATACAAACATTCATCCTATTGAGCATAAAACCAAATCCTACAAGATGGTCATAGTGGGTTTACTTCCTGCCACTCGAATCCCACAGAAACAGCAGGTTAAGGCCTCCTGTTTATTCTTTCTTCAACAGCCATATTAATAAACTCTACGAATGAAACTTGCGTTCTGCATTGAGATGTCAATGAGCACACATGCGGCTCATAATTCACATTACGAGCCACATGTGTGCTCTATCTCATTTCGGTTAACGGATAAAGGTGTGAGAAACATCTTCAACTCACAAATTTGTTATTTTTTGGGGGATTTTAAAAGCATTTTTTTTTTCTTTGATCTATTAAAAACTCTGTTTCAGACAAAAGCATTTACCCATCTAAAGCTATAAGATGTTAAAGGATAAAAGAGATTATTCCTATTATAAAGGCTCTGATACACCATCTGATTTCTGGATCTGTTTTCAGCTTGGGTGAGGAAGATGCAACTTTCTCTAAATAATTTTGAAACCTGCTCTAATATCTGCTTATCTTTAATTCTTAATGAATGGAAAGAAAACAAATCATGGAAATCAGCTGTGGTGGGATTTATTGTCAGGAAGAAAACAGAAAATGTTTCTTATGAAAAACCTGCATGAAATGAACTCTTGTGCATACTGCATAAAAATAACTGCATTTTTTTTTATTCTCCTCAGTGACTTAAGAAAGTGTTACTGCAGCATGGTTCCAGATATACTGGCTGGATGGCACGGATAACAAAGAGTGCGCACACACACACACACACACACCCTCACACACACACAAATGAACAAACAAAGGTCAAAAGAAATAGAGCTTAAAATCAGGATGTTTGATTACTTCTTCCACAATAAAAGCACCATAATTATTAATAAAAGACTATTTTAAACAAAAATAATGTGTTTCTAATATGTTACAAAAACTTTAAAAAGAACTTGATTGATACTAAGCTCAAACAGAGGAAAATACTCATATACAACAACCAAACAGGTTTGTCCTATTTGTCCCAGGCACTCATCCCTTCATCAGTCCTACAAACATGAGGGGGTGAATGAACAAAATGTTAAGGAACTAAAAGGCAGAGAGGTAAACAGAGGGGATGGAACCCAGAACAGATGTCCATGCAGGTGATTGAATAGTGTTTCTGGTGTAGTGTCTTGTTCGGTGTAACTGGGGTTAAGGCAAACATGGAAAGAATGGGAGACAGAAGACAGGGAGGCTTCAGATGTAGGTGACGGCACCTTTGCTGTTTTTCTCAATTGTGATTTCTACGTAGGAGGTGGGGACGTAGCCTTCCTCCCCGCTCTGCTTTCTGGCCCGGGTCCAGCCGTCGCCTTTATCCTCTTCGATGATGTATAAGACCTGCAGGGTAAGAAGGTAAGAGACATTCAGTGTCAGCTTTAAGTTTAGCCTAATGCAAGGTCGATAATTAACAAACGGGACACTTTGAAATTACCGTAGATAAATACATCTTTAACAGCTTTATAGTAATTCATACATTTTCTTCATAAAATTTCTGGCTTTAAAATACTATTTATTTGATTAATATTTAGTTCAGACAAAAGGCTAGCAAGAGTTTGAACAGATGTGACCAAAGCAGTGGGATCTAAAGAATCCTGGTTGATCAAATCAGCTGAAAGCCTCTGAAGGGTGGTGTCTCCTTGTACAGTAACACCAACCAGGACAAACTGGAAGGACACTCGTCTAAAAGCCATTAGGAGAAAGACATTTATTACATTTTTTATATATTTTTAGTACATTTATTATATTTTTGGACATCAGGAGGAAGACTTTGCACTTTGAACCCATACAAATTTAATTTAGAAAGATTTAAACCCAGGACCTCAACAGACACCTGAAAAAGTTCTTAATGTAACCCTAAAAACACCCAATCCTCACAATTTAATTCTGTATTATTTTCTCAAACTTTACCCCACCACATTTAATTGCACTTTTTGGAATTTGAAAACTTTATATGAAACTTTCTGATCACAGTTTGGACCAAACTATTAAGATTATGACTTGTGGCGAAAGTGGGGGGGGGGGTTCATTTCTTGTCCTTGAGACACACCGCTATACATGTTTTTTAAGTTTCCGTGTTAGCATAAAGTTTGCTAGTCACCCATCAATGGAAACTGAAGCAGGGAATCTTTTAAAACATGCAGGGGAAGTGGCCTTTGAGCTCCAGGTTAAAAAAAACTACTAAGCGATCTTCTGCTATAACTGATTTCCTTACAGCTGAAAATGAGTAGATAAAAAAAACTGCTTTAAATAATCGGTTGTTAAAGCAGTTCTACAGAAGACCACATGATGGCGCCTTTGTAATCAAGAAATGGATAAGAAACATTACCTCATCCTCTGCCATTGTCAGGGTCCCCTCATTTTGACCTATAAAACAAAGGAAAAGCACAATCAGTGTTGATTCTGTTCACAGGCTAAAGCGGCTGTCATTTCCAACCTTTCTGAACTTCAAACACAGATAAAAGACAAAAGCCTGGAGAAACTACAAGTTCTTTTTGACTGGTCCTGCACCCTCAATTCCCCCGTTTTGTTTGTTTCTACCATCAAAAGAGTAGAGCGCTTTGCAGTGTCCGATGACAGGCAATGGATCATCATCATCAAACTCATCATCAAACTCATGAGGGTCGTGGATTGGCTGAGTCGGCTGCGCGGGGCGGTGGCGTGGCGTGTGATGCTCTTGGCTGGTGTCGTCTGTGTAACTGCCCTCAGGGCTGAAAGGAAACACACTCTGAATGAATAACTCCAATAACTTTGCAAAAAAGCAGAACAATGGCACTGAATACAAGAAGTAAAGAACTGCTGACTAGAAGGCCTTGTGTTTTTAAAAATAGGAGGAAGGTTTATGAGTTTTATTTTGTTTCTTTCTTTCCTTTTTTTTTTAGGTCAAAAAATTTTTCATCAAAGCCAACAGGGATCTATGCTGAGGCATTGAAAGCATAACATGGAAAAGAAAAGACAGTAAGTACAAACATGGACACATTTGTGGCCCCCCAGTAACGACGTACACATATTAGAATATTTTTACTTCTATTCTCACCCTCTGTTGGCAGAGCATGATATAAAACTGAATTATTTAGAAAGATCTAGCTTTGAATAGGTACGTCAATGCAGTAAAAACAAAAATCATATGCATAACCTTCTGCTTCAACAAGGTTTAAATGACATTTGGCCTGTTCATTTTAGCCACTGGTCATTAAGTTGGATCAGTTTGTTTTGGAGCCACACACAGCTAGAAGGATGGTAAGGGAGTCCATTGCTGTTGAAGAGCTACCAACTATGGCCGAAAATGTCTCAAGGTTTTCAAAAACCCTTTGGATGCCATCTACAAGATGATTGATTGCTCAAAAGGCAAGCTAAAAAAATAAATAAATATCACCTTTACCTGGACTTCAATTGTGTGCTTTCAAAATAAGCTTTTAATTTGGCCTCTTGTCTACAGTTAAATGTGGTGAAGGACCCATGATGCTGTGGGCTTGTTAGACTATATGACACCTTCGAATGATATTATAAACTAAACAAATCCCTTGGTCATCATTTTTTTGCCAGAATAATGATCCTAAATAATTCAATTGGTAAAGCAATAATTTCCAGGTACATAAATAAACTGCAATTCATAACCAGCCCAGCCCCATAACCCTGTAGGAAAGAAAGGAGTACAAAACAGGACCAGGGCATATTTTAGATGTTCCGCTAGTTCCATTAATATAATCCGTTCATCTGCAGAACTTTGCGATGAAGTCCGACTCTATATGTCTATTAACATGACCGGGACACATTTAAAACATGCAGGATAAAGGTTTGTGGTTAGAGCCTGACCTAGAGAGTTTAAATGCTCCTTCAACAGGGGAATGGGATCAAATGATCATCTGTCAAAAGGCCAGAGGAACCGCTAACGGAGCCAAGAGTGGTTTTCTTAAAAAAGCATTTATTCCACCACAAAAAGTTTCACTTCTTCAAGTTCTTTTGAAGCAGTTATTGTACTAATCTACTAGAGTGAACTGGATTCCAACTAATTAGTCACAACCTTGAATTGCCTTCATTTAAAGCCAAAACCCTTTAACAACCAATTAAGTGTTAGAGACCTCATTTAGGTGAACCCACATTTTTATGAGCTATAAGGTACCATTAATACCAGATAATTAACATTCATCTGAATGGATAAACACCAAAGTTATGATACACAGGGTAAAGCAAGAGGTGGTTCTGGATGGTCGAACAGGAAGTTTCCAGATTCAGCCCAAACTCTCAGTCAGGTTAAAGGAATAGTACACCCAAAACATGATTAGCCTTCATTTTCTACTAGAAAATGAAGGCTAATCATGTTTTGGGTGTACTATTCCTTTAATGATGATGCACAAGCTCGTCATTATGGATCAGATCCTGCAAACAGAATTTATTACCTCTCCCTGCCATGAGGAGTGTGATGGTGGTTGTCTGCGCTGTGCCTTCTGTCTCCCCTGGAGCTCTGCTTGCCCTCCACCTCAGACAGCCAGGTCTGTCAGGAGAGCAATGAGATTAATGAGGAAAGATTTAGTTTTATATATCCTTGTATGTTTATTCACACCTTCAAAAAAAAGGCTTCCTCCTGATGAAAGAAAGCATTTCAATCACCTGCATAGGAGCTGCTCTAACCAAAGTTTGTTATATGGCAAGCTTCTCCTCTGTACCTCATTTTTGTGGATCTCTGAACGCAGCTTCTGGATATTACAGTTGGTCTCTGAGATTCTTGGTTGCAGACTGTTGGGGTCGCCCATCTGAGGATTCTTCTCATACACATCCTTCATCTTGTTCAATGCATCCCTAATAAAAACAGGAGGTTTTATAAATAGATCCATAAGCACAGCGACTTGATTTCTCTGATGCAGCTGAATCTGAATGACAGAATATTTCTCACCTCTGATCTGTTTCCTTCTGAAGCTCCTTATTGAGTTCATCAAGCTTCTGCTGCAGCCTCTTCCTCCTCTGCTCAGGAGGTAAGTGGCTGAAATCCTCCAGAGAGGGTACCTGGTGATCAGACACACAATTAGTACCAGCAGGGCTTCGCTGACACAACTGATAAGTTTCCTGGAGTGTTAAAATAGAGGATGGACTGATTATGATCCTGAAGGCCAACTGAAAGCTTTGGATCATAGAAATAATTCAAGTGGCTCTGGATGTTTCTGTTATTTATTTTCTCCTTAATACTCAAGTAAAAACAAGACATGGCTGTTTTTCTTTAAATAGCTGAAAGGGTTTTTTAAGGCATTTCATATTATTTAATACTGATGATAAAATTATTTCCCATAAATCCCAATCTGTTCTATCCTCATGTAAACCAGTAGATTAATCAATAAAGATGCAAATGCAGCAGTTGGATCTGTTTTTTTTTTTCTCCATCTGTTGCTAAAATAATGAATTAAAGCTAGCATGTATCAACTGAACACATCCAGTTTAACTTCTAAGGTTTTGGTTGTTATACGAGCTACTAAGCAGATTATATCGATTCATATGCTGCGTTGTTTGAACAAGAGCCATTTCATGTGAGTGATACATTCTTTCTTTCTTTCTAAATTGTTATTTGTGTTAAATATTATGTTAGTATCACACCCATCTGTTTGTCACACAGACACCATTACAGTTGAACAAGTTGCAACAAGTGCTTTACTGTCTCTACTGGCTTTATGCAGAGTGGTGGACACTAGGTAGATCCTACAGAGGGAGAGGAGTGGTACTGTTAGCCGCTGGGTCGCAGCACTACTTTACATACTAAACATGTACTGAACTAACTTACCATCTTAAGTGACCACTGAGCATAAACCATTAAAGTAAGAAAAGAAACATTTTGATTAGATGTCAGGTAAAGTCATGACTAATTTTCATCAGTGTTTGTGTTGAAATTACAGTCAGGATATCAAATATTCAAAGGAAATCAAAACAGATTCAGATTTTTTTTTTTTTAAATGACATGAGCTGACATCATAATATGATAACCTTTGTTTTAAGCACCATAGCTTCATGGCGTTTACAGAAAAATAAAACAAAACAATCAAACAAAATATTATTAAAATAAAAAAAATAGTCTCTAGCACTACTAAAAATATAACATTTGCTAAAAAAGATGCAACAATATCATCTGAAGTATATAACGATTTGTTAAATTGGGGGTGTCCATGTTTTGCCTGAAATACATGGAGACAGCAGAAAGGTGCTTAGAGACTCAAACTACTTGGCAATTAAAACAAAATATGTCTGTTTAGGAAATATTTCTGGAGGCTAAAAACAGGGACACTTATGACAGGGCAAATAAACTAGCTCCACCTATTACTGATGAAGAATTAAATTTTTTAATATATTGTAATTAATCTACTGACTATCTCTGTTGAATGGGTGAATGCTAGTTGGTTCCCAAACAAACAACCTGATCAATCAGATCCATCACATCCTCTGACTAACCTTTATATTAGTGTTCAAAATGCTTGCAGCAATACACCTTTTAACCTATGGTCTGCACTCTAAATAACTAACCAGATATTGCTAAAGCTATTTAGATGAAAATTCTGAGTTATAAATCGTTTAAATCAGAGATGAAAAAAGAAAGTTTTTAATAATTTTATCACTAATCGGAATAAGTAAACAGAGGAATAATAAAGACATAGACGGGTTGGTAGAGCTGGAGGATTTATATCATTCAACACTACTAATAATGGCCATGTTTTTTTTTTTGCTTCCTATATGCCACTAATACATTTCATACAAGCTCTTCAGCGACACTGAAAAATCCTTAATAATGAATGAAATATTTAGCAGGCGAGACACACAGACTTCAGACTAAAACTGATCAATTATCAGAAGATCCACCCGATGGTTGGTGGATAGTTTTTCTTTTTTATATCACTGCAAATCCACTATAAAAAGAACATTGATATTCTTTGCAATTATCTCTGGGAAATTATTGCTAAGTTTAGCAGATGTTCAATAAATATTCATGATTTAGCTTATTAACCAAAATAAAAAAAAAAAAAACTTAAGTTTAAAATACTTCTCTAACCTAAACAGCAAGTATTTTATGCTATGAATTCCTCTCTTTTTGTTTTTCTTTGTGCAAATTCATTTGAGTATTTTTTTAAATAAGGTTGTTTTGTGAGTACAATACAAGGCGTCAAGCATTTTCAATAAACCTAAAAGTAATAAGTAATATTTACATTTATAATAATAAGCTATAAGTAGCTGGCTTTAAAATTTTGAGTGACTAGTTTGGTAAAACTCTGACCTCCATACATGGAGTAGATTTTATTTACTTCTTTGTCTCTTTTTCTAAAAGTTAAATAACAACAGTGAGAAATTTAGCAGTCAGACTGTCTCTTCATTCAACTGAGGGAGGATTGAACATGAAAATCACAGATGGCTCTGACAGAATCTGCAAAAATAAACCCAGATTTAGCTTGGCACTGAAGCTGCGTGTTATTTACAAGTTTATGCTGAACCATCTGAGAGCTCAAAGCTCTGTTTCACAGCTTATTGGCAGTGTTAGCACACACAAACAGCACTTCAGACTGCAGCCAAACCAACATCTGCAGCACACCCAATGTTGGTAACCTCATCCTCAGCTGTTATCGCCTCTTCACATGCACTAACTAAAACAAGATACAGCAAACAAAGCCCAAACCCCACCAAAACCCTCAACACACCGACACACTGTCAATCACCAGGGGTCCTCAGCTCTGTGATTGAAGGACACCTCGGCCTTATAAATAAGGAATCACACAAAAACAACAAAAGGAATGAAACAAAGACAAGAAAGAAAGGGGGAGAATCAGAAAGAGTAATATAATAGGATGTCTGCAGGTTCTCAGACTTTGACATTTATGATGTTCTTAATATTATTAGACCAATATTTCATAATCCAATCCTACATTTAAGAGATTTTACAGAGAACCGTAACCTGCAGAGACCCTGAAACAAAATGATAGAGAAATAAAAAACAAACCGGTTTCAAACTCATGGATACGTCTCGTCTCACCCCTCTCCTCAGACCTCTTATGTTCTGAGGGATTTTGGGTACTGTAGTCTTTATCTCAGACAGATAGTGGCTTACAAGGTCGGAGTTGAAGCGTGCCGTAGGGAAGAATTGGGAGGTGGACCGCTGATGACAGTAAGAGGGGGAGGAGGATGAGGAAGGTGGCGGAGGAGGGAGAAAGGATGGGGACTGGTGAGGAGGAGGGTGGAGGGACAAGGCCAGAAGTCAAATGAAAACAACTGTTAGGTGTTTGTTCCCTTATCATCCAACTACTCCAGGTTTATTCGATTTGTGGGGGCATGTCGTCATGGTCACACTGACAGTAAAACCAACTTATTCACCTTAAGAACGTCTCACTCCACTACATTTGTTGGTAAATTGGCCCTCTACAAAGATACTAAGAGAAGCTGAAAATACATCCATGTTTACATGCATGTTAAGCACCGATATATTTTAACCTCCCTCACTAAAGGCCTCAACATAAATATATCTTCTATGGGAGCATAAATGTCTCACCCTGAAATATTTAGAAAATCCTCCCCTGCTGTTTAGACTTTGCACATTCCCCTTTTTGCCAGGGGGACATTTTTCTACAAGGTTAAAGGGATTCAAAGAGAGGGAAGTCGGCCCTCTCCTCTGCACACAAGTCAGTTATTTTGTCTAGAAGGCAGCAGGTGAACCATTTCTTTTTTTACTTGCCATCATGTCTGGGATAATTATTCCCACAAGACTTTATTTAAAATCCCGTGAAATGATACAGGATTTTTTTTTTAAATCAAATGAAGGCCCACAGAATCACAAATTCTCTACTACACTTAACAGTAGTTATGAGGTGCTTCATATTCACCATTTGTTTCACATCAAACCTACTTGGAGTGTTTGTTGCCCAGAAAGCTGGATCTCAGTCTCCTCCTACAAAATCACTTAGGTGAGGGTTTAAATGTGAGTAGAGGTAGGAAAACTTGGCATGTTTACATTTACGAGATTAAGGCAGAAGTGCTTTTTTTTTTTTTACTGGCATACCTCCCAAAGAGTAACACAGGTAACATAACCACTGGTCCTTGTCCAGGCTAGCGGTCAGTGGATAAAGGAACCTGGCTGCAGTGTTATGTCACAAATGCAGAAAGTTGTATTTGTTAAGATTTTTTAATAAGCTTTGATGAACTTAAGAGGAAGCTATGCATTTTTAAAAATACCTTTCATTTGCATTCACTTTAAAGAGATCGTAACGAGACCTAATGACTGTGTGATTCTAATGAAAACATTGTACAAAACAATTGTGTTTATATTAATGGTGCTTAATTGTTATCAGTGTGAGATTATGATAATGTAATTAAAAAATAGATGTATTCCAAGACTGTAGAGGTCTATATATTTTTTTTTTATCAGCAATACTCTCTTATGTCCCAGACTCTGTATTTTTTTTATTATAAAATATTGACAAGTCAAATAAATTTTCTTTCCAGATGGGTTTCCTGTTAGAAACATTTCCGCATTTCTTCCTCTTTGCGTCTTTTTATTTAACAGGTGATGTCATTAACATGCACACAATCAAGACTGACTCATAAAGATGCAGATCGTTTGGAGTATTCAGCTCTTAAGTGGGAAACGTCTCACTGTCTTTGTTGCTTAAATGAAAGTCAGTAAGTCAAACTATAGGCGTCATCATCCTGCTCAACGTAAATTTCAATCTAAAATGCAAAAAATCATAATCTGCTGTGAAGAATGATCTGGTCTGAAGGTTTAAGGCACTGAGAGTTAAACAAACTGTCCCATGTACACAAACGCACACCCCATCTATCAGTCAGATTGCTGATAGCAGGAGGCAGCTGATTGGTTAAACATGAACCAAACACAGGTGGTTAATCAGTGACCAACAGTGTGCTTTAGAAGCAGGTCAGGGTCCAAAGACTGCAGCAGAGGAGGGACTTGAAAGGTAAAAAACGCCCATAACTTATATATAAATAATGTGATGGGTGAAGTGAAAGCAAAATAACATTAATGCAGCAGATTTGGGTAGAAAATAAATTTCCTGCTCAGGATGCAACAACTCAAGCTGAGTGATTCCACCAAACACATGAAGAAATAAGGCGTCATTTATGTACCTTTGGTTTTTTCCCAAATAGCCAGAGTTTGTTCTTGCTTCTGCCGATGGTGTGTTTTGCTTCGGAACGCGGGATCGGGCCCAGGTCTCTGTCACTTTTTGGGGTGTTGCTGATGGTCCCGTCTGATCCCGTCCTGCTTAAGTGCTGACTGAAATCCTCAAACGGAAAATCTCCCGGTGGTTCAAAGCCAGATTTAAATGACTCCACAACGATAGAGGAATCCTATTAAGAAGGGACAAATAAAAGGGAAGGCTGATTTAATAGGCTGGTTTTTTAAAGATAATCATTTTTTCTTTCAGTCTAAACTTACCCGCCGCGCATCCACAGCCTTAGCAGCAGAAACCATTCCATCTAGGCATTTGGAGATGATGGGAATGACTCTCTTCTCTGCCTCTGCAAACCTTTGATACGTTTCGCCGAGTTTTACTGTTCGCCGTTCATCCATGTCTTGAATGTTCTTAACGGAGGAAGAAAGCAGAGCGTAAATGCTCATACAGATACCTCACTAAGACTCCTATGTGTGCAAACATCTAAGCAAGTAAGAAAATTCATCATCTAGATGTAGCTAATAAACAGCCAATAGATTAGCTTAGTTTATACAGAAGAAGTTGTTGAGTTAATATGTTAATGAAGCACTTCATTTAATCACAATACCAGTCTGCATCAGTACAAAGATCTGGTCAAATTTGGTGCTTTGTTAGCATGCTGATAATCTTTTACAAAAACATTATATTCTCTGGACAATGTACATGATTTAAAATGAAATAAAATAGTTTCTAAAGATTTATTACCTAAAAAAGTACAAAACAATAACCCAAATAATATGCATTAAAGGTATAATGGAGGATGTTCTTTCTCCGGATGGATCATCAAAATAAGTGGTCCTCCTAATTGTCAATCATTCTGGTGATAAGTTTACGTAAGGCAGTCCTATGTGCTCATTCCCTTTTTCACTTACCGGTGGTAAGTCTGACGTAGTGGAAAATTAACAAATATTCTTTTGGAAAGTAAGCTTGTGTGAGTGATGTAAACGGCAAATTCTAAACATAGCGAGAGGATAAATGGACTCCTGCATGCTCCCGCACAAGTTTAATAGGTGTTCCCTCTCGTAGCGGGTACAAGGTTGTCCACTATACCTTTAAATACAATAGCTTAAAATGTGAAGGACGAAGTGATATATCTGTACATGGGGAGGACTCATAATGTATATACATAAAATGCAGCTCATGCTAGAGCAGTCTGGGAATGGCCATTGTTTATAAAATGTTCACTTGAGTCTCTACGGGGAGAGACTGTCTTCACAGCTTTGGGAACAAAATGTTTTTAAAACCGATTTGATTTAAAAATATTGCAGATAAACCATTTTCCTAATGGAGGTGGGATAAACAGTTCATAGCCAGAATAGGTGGATCTGTGGCAATGCATCCGGCTTTCCACTGGGCTCATGTAGCACAGACCTTCATCCTAATCTAATGCAATTTTATTTGTTGGTATGTTGTGTTGTGTTCTCAAATAGCCACACTTTAAGGATCATATTTAAATTAAACTTTGCATAAAAATAAAGACTTTCATCTTCAGTTATTTAGAGGTTAACATGTGATCATCCGTTTTTTGTATTAAAAATTGTTTAAAAAAAATAAGATGTGCTCAATATGATATATAAGCATAAATGTTGCCATAAGCCTGTTAAGTAAAACTGGGCCAATCTTAATGTTTATTTCCATCCTCTTTCTTTAAGTATCTCTGGAGTTTTAAGTGGTGGAAAAAAATAAATCATGAACCAAAACATAAAAAAGAATAGGTTTGTTGCCAAGTAAATCCACAACCAGGTTACATAACAGGTCCTGAAAATAAGAACTTCTGTCTGAAAGATGAAACAGATAAATAAAACAAACCTAATTCTTTCCAACCACACAAATCTAATACAGCTTCATGATGAGTTTGAATATGACCAACAGAGACACTTAAAACGTTGCATTTAACACCTACAGATGAACAAATATGAATTATCAAATGACCAAAACTGCTTTAACTAACTGGGTGTGTTTGCTTTACCTTGAATATGTGTGGTACGGAGTTATTATAGTGTTTCCACTGCTCTCCGTTAAAGTTCTGGAGCTGGGCGGCATATTCGTTTTTACTCTCATCTGCCATGTGAGTCCGCATGTAGAGTTGGGCTTTGGCCTGAACAGAAATACAAACAATATGTTATCATGTAACTGGACAGTAGAAACCAACCAAGTAATCCAACCTAAAGCCTGTCCGGACCAAAAGAGAGAAAATGGATCCAATATATTTGATTTATTAGGCGAGTTCAGCTTAAAAGAAGTACAGCCTCCTTTACATACTTCTGTCTTTTATTGTCACACTTAAATATTTCCGATCGTTAAATAAATTCTCATATCTGATAGGGGTGACCTAGATAACTATATAGAAGGCAAATAATTTAGATCATAAATTAAGTTAAATTTACCATAATTTTTTAGAAAGTAAAGTTCAATTTCACTCGATTTACTTACAAACATGAAATCATATTAAACTGGACCAGGCTTACAGAATGACGTAGAGTAAATAATCTAAAGCTGGAACACAGCCAATCCCTTTCTAGACTATAACAGATGAGACATCTGTCTGTCTGGCAAAGGTTAAAAAGGTTTTCTGAGGCTTTTGAGCTCCAGAAAACAACAGTGAGACCCGTTATTCATAAGTCGAGAAAACTTGAGAACCTTGTGAAGAGTGGCCGTCTTACCAAAAGCATATCAACAAATGATCCAGGAGGATAAAGTTTTGAAATAATTAGTCTGTTTTTTTTTTGTTATTTTATAACATGATTTTCACTTAGTGAGCTGAGTTAGTGAAATAAACCTTTTAATATTTTATTGAATAGGTCTGAGTGTGAGAATTTATTATTAGTCTCACAATCTACAGAGGAATGATATGCTGCAGGGCTGGGGTTGTTTTATTATTGGGTTATTTTGCGGGTGGATCCCGCTCACCTTCTCCACCTCTGACTTGGTTGCATTGATATCATTATCCAACCGGTCGAAGGTCATCTGGGCTTTCTCCGCTTCTCTGCACTCTCTCTCAAACTTCTTTTTACTCTAAAAAGGGAAAAAATTCAGAGTTTATTCAGACTATAGCAAGAATATAAACTCTAAGTCCATTGCAACGCATTCATATCGTTTCCTGTCTCTGTAAATAAAAAAAAAGGAAAATATGTGAATAAGAGGGTGATGAATCAGACCTAAGATACTTTACTTCCTGATGGACCATCTGGATCACATCAGCAGTAAAGGAAACAGTGAATAGCTGAGACATTACAGTCCAGTCATTAGGTAGTCACAGCTACAGTCACACAGACCGCACAGTGAGGTGTTCCGAAACAACCAAAACCAAAACCTGTGGTTGCAAATGACCAATGTATGAATCTAAAAATAACAGCTAGTTCCTAAGAAACTATGAATGTAAATTAAAGAGAACCAGCATCTAAAAAAAACACATTGATGTAAGTAAATATCTTGTTTCAAGAGGTTTAGTTAGGCACTGCTGCCATTATTTTTTTTGTCCTTTGCCTGAAAACTGTCCTTGGTGTTAAGAATCAGGAATGTTGGCAAGGATAAAAAAAAAGATGCCAATTCACTTTATAAAAGGCAATAAAATTATCTAAAGCTACAGTTTGTATTGATTTTGGGCCAAAGCAGAAAAAAATCTTCTGTAAGTTCTATTAACAACTTCTTAAAACAGATAAAGATGAACAAAATAGTTTTCCCTCGACTAAAATTAAGGTTTTTAAGGGTTAAAGCGATAAAAAAAATTTGTAGTTTCTTTAGCTACTTCTGTTAGCAATTCTATCATGCCGTCCTCATGCAAGTTAGCATGAGAGATAAGCAGCTGCTTGACCCTGACAGAAAATATTTCACCATAAACATGTTTTCTCTCTACAACCCCCCCTCCCTAACTTACATTGTCCATCTGTTTCCAGCAGTGATCCAAAAACTGTTGAGCCTTTCTCCCTTCCTGTAGGTGCTGCTCTCATTTCCATACAGACGCGTTTATACAGAAACAAGAAACACACATAAATAAGCAGACCACAAAAATATTTGGACACTGTAACAAAGAAACAAACACAAAGGCAGGTGGATTGCTGTTGTTGTTTTAGCCAGTGGTGTAAACGACTGCACTGCAATCAAATTAATTTGCACAGAAGCCTGTTTTTAGATAGAAGATTTACAAGTTTTATATTCTGCATTTCAGGCCATCTCAGGTATGATTCTGATACATTAAATAATTAAACCACTTCTAGACAATGAAATTTTGCCTTTTTAATTCAATAAAATCAGATAAAGTAAAATACAAAACTAGTAAAGGACACTGTTTTTCAAAAACAGATGCAGTTGTACTTTTAGCTTTTCATCGACAGACGGTAGAAACATGACGACAGATGGTTAACATCACATCCAACATTTTCATCCTTAGAGTTAAAGCCAAACAGAAAAAAACATGAACATAAGCAACACAGAAGGCTCCAATGGAACATCTGCTTAATGACTGGGAGCCACAACAAAGCCAGTGACATTCACAAAGCAGAAAAGTATGGACTCCATACAATACTCACATGTTTTCTCTCAGCTTTCAGCTCTTGGCTGTACCTCATTAGCTCATTGTAAACCTTATGAGACATCTCCTCTGCCACCACCTCCCTCTGCCCAGCGTAGTCGTTAAGTTCGCCCAGTATGGAGTAGAACGACACACAGGATGTGAACCTGCAAAATGGGCAAATCGTACACTAATAAAAAAGCTGGAAGAGGTGCGAAAGGTATGAGGAGCTTCTGGAAAGGAAACTAACGTTATCCTTAAGAGGAGTCCAATTCTGTCTAACATAGAACTTCTGCAACTTTGAAATCTCCAAGTTAATTAAGATCAGAGTATTTTTACTAATCTACTGCTGCCTTAATGCTAAAGTGCTAATAAGGGTTTAAAAGGTCAGCTCTGCAATCATGTCTTTGAGATATTTAAATAAAGCTAAATTGCGGCTCTGTTTAATACTAACTGCTATCTTTTACAATAAAAGTGTACATCTCCAGTTTTAGTATCATACATATTTGCATTGATTTGTTTGGATGATGATAAAATTATTCCTGAGACCAGAGACTCTGTCCTAAAAGTATTTGGATTCATTTCAATGTATGCATCTGTGATCGATATGATCAGATATCATGTCTGTCTAAAACAATCATTTGCATATAAGTCACACCTTACGCATTTGAACTAAAAACATTCTCAATAAAAGGTTCCCTCAATAAATAGACCTCACCTGTTCACACTGTGACACAGTGAGGTTAGAGCCCTTGCATACTAAAGATCATCAACATTTTTACTTGCATCAGCACCTACATGTCAGTAACTTGATTTTTATATTTATGACAGAATAATTAATCTTCTTATAAAATCCCCGATTGTTGATCTTGATATCAATTCATCAAAGAAATTATTTTAAAATATTTAAATTACAAGTTTTTCTTCATATGCCAGTAGAGTGGATAAGGCAAATAAGTGCAAAGCAATGCTGGAGACTCCCACAAGTTAATTAATTAACAATTAACAACAAGCTTTTATCTGTACAGTAGGAAAGAGAATAACATAAGAAAAACTTCACCTTTTATAAATGAAATATAAACACCCTTTATTATCCAAAAGACGGAAAATTCTCAACAGCTAATCATAGATATGTGAAGTTTACAGAATTATCCTCAGATTCATCTCAAGGAAAAATAAAAAGATCTGTTTTATATAACTGCCCTTTTTAATCATTTATTTATTTATTTCTCCTCACAATAGAATATTTTGAATCCTTAATGAAATTTTAGGAATGACACTGATGTACATCTTTTATGTGTTTTTAGGAGAAAAAATTAAAAAGGTCTGCCCTAACCTAAAGCCATTCAAAAAGCTTTGTTTTATGTGACGGATTACATTGTTTGGTAACTTCACAGACAGAATGTGAGGAGCCACATCAAACACACGGCTGAGGTCTTATTTTTTTTTAATGAACAGTCAGCATTTATTCATCAAGATTCCAGCAGAACTTTCCATTGCTCCTATCCGTAGTCATCCTAAAGTATCAAGTAAAGGATTAAAAGAAAAAAAAATGGGACGCTCCTCACCTTGGCTCTTCATCTTTTGGACGTTTTGGACAGTATTTCTTCACCAGATTTCTAAATGGGAGAGAGGAAGACATAAAAGCTAAAGGCACTGTCTGATATTTTAATCCTGCAGTTAAAAAAGCTGAACGTAACACACAGACAGAGAGACATCCAAATTCCCAAACCGACCCACACACAACGGGAAAGGATCCAAGCATGTTATTAGAGATTGATCTAAGATTTAAACATCAAAGCCTCAGCCTGCCCGTTCCCCGGGGCTCTGGGAAATGCAGACTCCTGTATTGCACTCAGTAGTTGGAATGTATTAACCAAAGAGCAGCTAACAGAGTGTTGGCCTCATGTTTATCCAAAGCTTCAGATGCATGTATGAGAGCACAGCCATTATTGGCAAAGAAATTTGCAACTTTGTCTGGAAGCAGATGGATCCAAACAATTAAATAACTGTGACCAAAATTGTCACTTAATGAGCAACATAAAATATGTATCACTGAAGTTAAGAGATGAAAAATATTGTCTTTTTTGTTTTTATTTTTACAAGTAAGAAATGTATGTCACACTGTGTTCCCGGAACTGTGACGTCACTGTGCTCATATATGGATATGTGTGACTGTATGTGTCAGTGTGAACGTACCGTAGCTGCTTGGCATAGCTTTGCTCTATGTCCAGCCTCTCCTTCACAAACTTTGCGTAGCGCTCTAGAAAGTCAATCCCCCACTGGGTGTGTTTGTCCAGATTTTCAAACTGGTCCTAAATTGGAAAACAAGAAAGAAAATTGGCCAATGTAATACAAAATTACACATTCTAGAGACGTAAACAATATATATTTGATTTTTTGTGCATTATTAATAGAAGCAAATATACAACCGATCAATAGTATGCACACACTGCAGGCATCAAACCCATCGGACCAACATACAGCAAATGCAAAACACTAAAGCAAGAAAAGATTTGCTAATAACAAGGACTCAGGCCAAGAAAATAGTTTAAATACCGGTAGTTTAAAATATGTTTGTGCATTTACTCTGTTAAGAATGTTTTATCAAAGAGTAAAGCTCCTCAGATTGTAGTCTGTTGTTTATATTATCTATACTTAAAGCTTCATGTTTAGTAAAGACAGGTATAAGTTTGTAATCAACCTGCCAAACAGGGACACAGTGGCGTTGGATGTAGGAGTTTGCCCTGAAATCAAAGGGTTGACCATTCAAGCCCCAGTTCCAGCCTTTAGTGTTCTTGTCCTTGGGCAAGACACTTCACCTGCAATGTCTACTTATGGTGGTCAGAGGGCCCAGTGGGCCTGAGACTGGCAGCCTCGCTTCTATCAGTGAGCCCCAGGGCAGGTGTGGCTACATTGTACTTTGTGTGAGTGTGTGCGTGAATGGCTGAATGAGGGAATATAGTGTAAAGAAATTTGGTCAAATCTCCTGACTTGAAAAAAAGTGCTTTACAAGCACAGGCCATTTACCATGTAAGCTGGTCTCTCTTCCAATAACAGTCATACTATCCAACAGCTAATCTGTTACCCGAGTATCCAAAAGTAAAAAAAAAAATCAATAGAATCACACACAGGACTAGTAATGTTAAGATTTCTGCTGTTCTTTTGAGCAAGCTGAGAGTTAGAGAGAGCAAGAGTTAAAGGGGATAATGCGAAGGCTTAACAGAGTACAACAAAGTTGCTCTGTTTACAGATTTATTCCTTTACTGAAATATGTTTGACATGGAGTTGAATTATTTTTTGTTAATAAATTCTTATATTTTGAATAAAATTTGTTATGTATGGATTCCATATGTGTGCAGAGTTATGTTTGACGGTTTTCATTTGTTGTCATATCATACAGCCAGTTGTGCGTCTGACACCTGAACTTCCCCAGTATGGGACAGTTAGGGATATTACTCCTCTATTTTAATCTCTTCTTTATTCTATTGAGGTGTCAGCAAAAGCTATATTTTAGTAATCCCAATCCTCACTTCCATAATACTCTGAACATAATATTCAGAATAAATACACTGTATACTGTTTAAAATGTTTAAATTACTAGTGTTACTTTTTATACAGCTACACTATTTATGGACTGTCTAAATAACATAACGATGATGAGACCTCATTATATTATGACCCCAAAAACAAGTCTGCTGTCTGTCCTTTGCTGTAGTGGTTCTGGTGGTCACCACAGTGCTCCGTTTAAGGGACAAACGTCTTCCAAGCAGTAAGGTAGAAGCAGGTGATTCTCACGTGATTCTCAACATAAATTTTTCCATGCAGTCTACAGATTTAATCTGTATCCTTTTCCATTTGTAGCACAAAACCACCTTTAGGCTACCTAAAAATAGGGGCAGTATGTAAAAGGGGATTAAGTTCACATTTCAATAAATATGCTTAGATCAACAAGCTATGCTATACTACAGAAAAGACTCCATTATTTTTTCTGCCTCAAATCACCCTGGATAATTCAAGTGTCAAGAAGGATCCAAGACAGTTTAGGGAAGCTGATTAGAAAATAGGACCACTGACCACTCAGTGGAAGTGTTAATTATAACAGATATGGTCTTAATACTGAGGACAAAAGTTTCTGGGAATAAATATTGCTAATTCTTCTGTGTTGCTTGCATTACTGTGGTACTGTAGGTGTGGGAAATAAAGCTCAACCAGTAATGGCTTTCACTAAACAGATCTGATGCTTGCAGGGTTATTATGTTTATGTGTTTTTGTTTTTTAGTTTATGTTTATGCATTTAGCAGACGCTTTTATGAAAAGTGACTTACAAAGCAGGCATTAGCATAAATGGTCTTGTCTAAGGACCCTCACTGGCAGCTCATTTCCCTCTGCGGGGATTGGAACCCAGGGATAGTAGCTAGAAAAGGATTTATAACTAGCTTTGCAGTAAAATGAAATTAAAGTATTCCTGGTACACTCTGCAAAGAATTAAAAAGCTCATAATATAGAGTCTCTCAGTATCAAATTCTCCCCAAAAATGCTCAACTGTAAAGCAATCCTAAACATTTTATAAAGAGAAACTTATAAATTCCTATTTACTTATGAGTTGATTATGAAACAGACTGATATTGACTGCAACAAATACTGTAAGTTCATTTGATGTGCAAGGCCAGTGAAATTATTTTTGAATCAATAAGAAAGAGGAAGGCTGTACTGTGGCTAGAGGATATAGACAGAACTTGAGTCACAATATATTTCTTAATTTAGGTTGATGCAACATAATTCCAATAACCATATAAATAATATAAAAATCTCAGAAAAACTGCAAAGATATCCACCATCAGAATCCTGTTCAAACTTCAGAGCATTATTATGGTAAGTATATGAAACTCCTCCAATATAACATTTGCTAAAAACAGTTACTGGTGGAAGAATATGCTAATTGTTAGAATAACACAAACAAAAGGATCTCAGCAGGATTAAAGTGTTGGTTATTGAGCCTCCTTTGGTTTCTCTAAAATCATCCTCCAGCATCTTTCAGGAAAATTGACCAAATATGCTTTCTTTGCATAAAAAAGGGGAAAAAAAGGTGAAAGGTTTATCCAAATATCCAGTTAAGACGTTAAACAGCAGTTAGCTAATCTTTGTGGAGTTTCAGACTGAATCATTACTGTATGCTCAAAGCTTTTTTTGGGTTTATTTTTGCCCTCTTGCTCATGTCTGGTCTGTTTCTCCTCCATATATGCTTGTTTGCCTCATTTTAGCTGGAAGACTGGTATTGCATCAGCCTGTGTGGCAGGGCCTATGAATAAGTAATAGACTATGAGCTCATTCTGTAGGTTTTGGCAGCTGAGCAGGATGCCTCGCTGGAGGAACGACAAGACTTCCAGGTTTCTTTTCTCTCCGTTTGCATGGATAAAAACAATGATGGAGAGGACAAGCTGAAATGTGGGAGATATAATTTGGCTGCAGGGACATAACATGGTGGGAACAAGAGAAAGAGAAATTATTATGAAGATTTAATTATGTTCTGAAGAAATTTGTAATTCATGCACATTTACATGCTTTCCACCTTAACAAAATTGTTTACCATTATTTCTAATTTATTTTAGATATTAAAATTTTTTGTAAGACAAGTCTTTTGGCAATCTGCTCAAAACTACAGGTCTTTATGATGACTGTTTTAGATATCAGTACATGAGTAATGTTTCTTTGGAATATTTTAAGGATCGGAGACCACATTGATCTGACTCAAACTAAATTCATCTTATAGCTTGTGCGTTGGGCACTTTTACCTTTGCATATCTGTACTGGTGGTCAGTTCATGGATTGGTCCAATGATCAGAAAAGTCACACCATCAGTTTGTTTGGTAAGCATTCACAGCGATTTGTAGAGCAGGGTAAACAATGTCAGTTTAAATAGGTCATTTTAGGGGCAGTTATAATAATAATAATAATAATAATAATTTAACTTTATTGATCTCACATTTGAGAAATTTACCTCTGCATTTAACCCATCCCCTTGGGGAGCAGTGGGCTGCCATTGCCTGGTTCCCGGGTAGAAATCTTGGGGTTAAGGGCCTGGCTCAGGGAGCCAGAATGGCAGTCCATGGAAGTGGGGCTTGAACACAGAACCTCAGGTTCCGCCACTCCCCAAAGCAATAGGGAGAGGTGTCCTGAGGACCCAAACTGGCAGCTCATTCCCCTCAGCTGGGATACGAACCCAGGCTTCCTGGTTGCAGGATGGGCGACTTACCACTTGAGCTAGTCAGCCACAATTTTTGGGTTTATTTTTATCCTGTCACCATTAAGACTGTAAAACCAAAACATGATCTAGGACCCACTGCTAAGATTGTTTACCATGTCTGCTCTGACATAATTATTGATTATCTCTGTTACATACATCAATGAAAGACTCAGTTTAGTGATAAAAAGTGCCTACCATATCATGATAGTTCTAACATTACAAAGGTATGTTCATGGAATCATCTTTTATAACCATTAATCACAAAATAATGGTTACCTGTTGGCATCCTTAATTGGTGATTGTTTCATTCTTTACTTCACTACTTCTATGCCTGCCTGTGACTAAGTCACTGACTGCTGAGATGTAAAAACAATTAATTCAAACCACCTAGAAGCATTCCACAGGAAAAAAATACATTGTTTATTAGTGATAATAGTTCTTCTAAGATGATAGATTAATTACACATAGTGGCATTAGAGCAAAAAGCTAGGGTCCAATAACGGATACTTGGACCCGAACACGGATGCACACATGGCAGACACATTGCAGGAAATGTCAACTTGGCTGAAACCCTGCATCATGCTGCAGACCCCCAGGCTCTGTCTACACTCTGTGTTTACTGTGTGCGTCTGTTTCATCCTCCTCAAAACGCAACAACACACAACCATCCCCAAAGATACAGCTCTGCATTTCAAGAATGTGGAGGTGGGGAACTGAGGTGGTTTTAATGTGTTTTTGTGTCTTGGATACTGAAAAGGAGTGAGAGGTAGAAAATGATTGGTCTTCAATTCTTTTCTAATTGGTGCCAATAAAAATATGAGAAAGGTGGAGAAAGAAAGAACAAAAAACGGCCAGGTCTCCATGTTAAACAGCTTTACTCATCACTGTTTTATTTACAGATCTATGTTATAGCTTAGAAAAGGTAAAATATGTTGCACATACTGTTGGAGTCCAGTTTACTCCTCATGCAGAGGCAATAGGTCAGACTCATCCAGACTCGTAGTTCCTGAATTCCTGAATGATATGTCAACTGTAGCGCCAACATACAGAGTTAGGATTAAAAAGAGC